GGGGGGGGGGGGGGCGGCAAATTGGAGCAAGAGCCTAAAATTGAGTAGGTTCTATAAAGAGCATTTTTGAAATTGAGGGCCACTTACAGTACCTCCACATGCAGTCTAGCTAAGGTTTAGTTGGGTCTAGCTTAAAAGGCGGCCCTGTGTACAGTATAGCTAGACATATACTACAACAACATATGTATATATCTATATTGACTAAAGTCACTTCTTTAGACAGTACGATATACAGTAGTAACAACTAAATTCAGTTTAAAGAGCTTCTTCTGTCCTATAACTATATTGCTTTAGGCAATTTTCCAAACGACAATGCATTTGGACCCAGTAACATGCAGACAACTGCAGATAAACCAATCCCACAGCAGCGATGAATACATCAAAAGAGTTTATCTTTACAAAACATTACACGGAACTGATTATATATCTTCTTGTATAGCTGTGCTACTGTCAATCTCCTTTTTCAGGTGGTCTGAACCTTCTATGGTTAAACCCGGTTCCGTTTTGTGTTTGATGTACTACAGCATGCAAAAGTGATATATCATTTGGTTTACATCAATCTAAAAGAATGGAAAAAAAACTATAATTTTTTGATGGGGGTTTATGTGCAGGGGCCATATACTTTTATTGTATCTGTAAACAATGTGAAGTGTGAACCATTGCCTCAGTCAAAACACGTTAATGACCACTGAATATTGAAGACTAGAAGTGATGATCATTCCTATGTTGTACAGTTAAAACACAGACAAGAAGGGATATGTATTTTAAAAATGTAAACAATATTCTTGGGACCGCTTCAAACGTTCAAACAAATCTACCAACCTGAAAGTCGCACTATCTTGACGACTTGACCATGATCTGGACCTTGGCAGCAATTTAACGACAATGCTCTTCCTTCGATTTGATCTTTCGACAGAATCGACTGCTTGGCTTTAATTTTGTTAAATATTTAACATTATTCATATCCAAGCACTCTCCTCACAAAGATTTACCATAGTATAGCTATTATAAGGCTAGTATACGCGTTGAATGCGATTCGAATTCAAAATTTATAGATATTGTGCGCCAAAGAACGAACAATAACCAACGGTTTATGAAAAGAAACACGACAATGTCCATAAAAGAACATAATCGAAACAGCTCGCTTCGAGTTCGGTAAAAAATAGTACCAACATGCTTTGCGCACCGCGACTCTTGCCTGTCGCCATATTTCATATTAGCGAATATTCAAATCGTTTGCTTCTTTATCGCCGGAATATTTGAATATTTATTACTTCTCAACGCAGGAATACTTAGGAGGCTGTCTCTCTAAGAACCGACCAATGACTCTCGGCTCATAAAATGAAATTTTTCGTTACTTTCACAATGAAATGTATTTACCCCAAGAACAAACAAACACTATTTGGAAATTTGAAATTTTATTAATTTTTAAAATTTCAGCGATTTCGGTCCCGCGCCGTCGTGCAGAAAATCCTCTGCCTGACATGAAAATTAGCCGAATTCAAATACATATAATTTTTAAAGTATTTAACCAAATGTTATGAATTTTTCACCCACCAACGTCAAAATTATTCTACTTTGAAACTTGCCTTGTTTTATGATACTTTTACAGAACGATTATGGCAACCTTTAGCGATAACAGGCACCGAGTGTAAATACGGCTTTGTACGCATATCAAATTCGACTTTAAATTTCTCAAAAGTGGCACCTAACTGGATTCAGTGACTAATATGGTTAAAAAAAGGGAAGTTTGAAGTACCCATATCCATAATAAAACTTGTTACCAACCGCGATTTGAAGACTCGACAGCCTCTGAAATTTGATACAATTTGGCTATTTTGTTTAGCTTCAATTATAGCGGAGTTGAGACGTCAGAGCTTCCAGTCACTTTTAAAATGCGCTGTTGTTCCGTTTTTTTACACAAGCCGTTAATATCATCGTAGTTAAGCGATTTTTCTGTGTTCATGAACATCACAAGTGGATTTAATTCAAAAAGATTTCGATCGATGCAGCGAGGTATTATTAAAAGTGGTACGCTTTCGTGTTAAAATTAGCTACTCGGGGAAAACCCGGAAATTATTGTCAAATTGTCAATGCTGACATTTATTAATCTAAACACTGTATGTCTATTCTGCACGGTTGGGAATGAATTTAAGAGGTTATCTCTTTAAGAACCGACGAATGGCTCTAGGCTCAAAAGATGAAATTCTTCGTTACTTTCACAATGTCTTTTATGATTTTTTCGCCCACGAACGTGAAAGTCATTCTACTTTGAAACTTACCTGGTTTTATGGGTTTTTTTTTCTGCGAGTTGGATTCTCCCTCGGCTTCTGAGAGCAGTAAACGCAGAAGCCCTTGGTATGAAATTGTATGTACTATGAAATGTACTGTTACTAACTTGGAGGTGGTCTTTCTATTGATTTGGTTATTTTTTTAATTTGGGCACTTTTTAACACTCGTCCCCAATCCGCTATTCTCGACAAATTTGGATAAAACAAACAGGTGGGAGGCCTCAAGCGTAACACAGGCAGAACTCGACGTACATCCTTTTTCGGACAATCTGTCCTAAATTTTGTGGATGAACAACGCACAGATATTAGCCTCATGGCGTTGCTCAGAATGAATATTTCTTGCTTCACTCCCCCAAGTCAATGCTGAATGTAGATCCTCTGTTCTCTATTAAAATAGCTTTTTTCTAAGTCATTCAAAGCTCGTGTAAATAATATTGGTTACTTGAGGATGTAAAATTGATATAGACTTCAAATTGCAAAATTAAGGCCAGTGTTAAAAGAACAATTTAATGTACAAATTTACTGTATAATAACAAGAAAACGCAGCGTCTCCCTACGGCATTGTATTTCAGTTATTACACAATTATTATTGGTAAATCCGCTATCCTGCTATACTAAGCTTGGCGAAAGAAAAGTTTTGATCTGCTTGGTTTGAGAGTAGAAACTATACTGCAAGTTCACAGACATAGCGACGATTATACGAACATAACTCATCATTCCATTTCCCTGCTTTATCGCTAATTGCATACATCTCCACGCAATCTTCTTCCTTGCCACGATAGTTATTTGGTTCCCCCGTGTCCCAGTTTTTATAGGAAACACTGACGCCACTTGTGGTGATAAACTTTTTGTTTTCATCCCTATGCACACCAATCCATGCCGTTCTATCACCAAGAACTTTAATAAGCTGGAATATTTGATCATTGATTTCCGAACTATTTGGCACGGCCAAATCGCCACCACGATAACGGCATTCCTTTCGAGCCTCATTCCAACTGCCAGTTTTATAATTAAGATAGTAACAATGACCATTAATTTGGATGGAGTTGCTGGGACAAACAGCATCTATAAATTTAAAAAAATTAAAGTTCAAAAAAACTGGTACGGTAAACACAGAAAAAAATCATTTTCTTATTAAGAAAAAAATTCTTAATTTAAGAAATTATTTCTTAAAACGAGAAACGGATTTTCTTAATAAGAAAACGATTCTTAAAATTAGAAATATTTCATTGGCAAGATATTTTTTTTTAAAATAGGAAGAAAAAAAATCTTAACATATCTTGGATTATATTTGTTTTCTTAAAACAAGAATATATTTTCTTACGATTTTTTCACCTTCATATCAATCATTTTCTTAGGAAAATACGATTTTCTTGTTTTAAGAATTTCTTTCTTAAAACAAGAAATCAAATTCTTAACATAAGAATTATATTTGTTATCTTAAAACAAGAATACGTTTTCTTACGATTTTTTCATCTTCTTGTCAATCATTTTCTTAAGAAAATATGATTTTGTTGTTTTAAGAAATAGTTTCTTAAAACAAGAAATCAAATTCTTAACATAAGAAATTTTTTTTTAAATTTTCTTGAAGAAAGAAATTTAACTACAGGAACTATAGGAATGGCATTCAATTCTGGTGTTTAAAGACATATATAACATATTTTGTATATAGATTCATTTTAATTGTATAACACTTATTTCTAGAATAATCTGCATATGTATTACAGGGACCGCGGAGCCTGTTTTGAAGTGTGTGTGTGTGTGTGGGGTGCAGGATAGCACAGGAGCTATTGCACGCAGGCAAGCTGGATTTTATACGGTAATTTTTTATTTGATCCATTGAAAAAGTGGGGCGGCCATGGCCCCGCCCCCCCTTAATTAGTAATTTGTTAAGGTAAATCAGGGATGGATTTACTGGGGGGAGGAGAGGTGTGGGGGGTGTAACGTCCCCAAAGAAAAGTCTAGAAAGGGGTACCAATTTCCCCAGCTCGGGGGCCCCGGAATGCTGGAATTGTGGAACTTGCCAAATATTAAGGAATATTATGAAACATTGGGGTCGAAAAAGGTCTGAAAAATAAAATTATTTTTGAGGTGCCCCCCCCCCTCCCCTCCCCCTACCAGATCATTCTGGATCCATTCCTGAGGTAAATTTGAGAAAAATATTGTGTTTTATTTTTATTAAAATGCTACATTTGTCCCCCTCCTGCTGGAAAGAAGATATCTTTCGCCTACATTACGTCGGCCCTGATCAGGGGCGAAACTTGAGGTGTGTGTGTGTGTGTGTGTGTGTGGGGGTGTGGTGATACCCCCTTAAAGTACAAATCATCTAGATTGGCAGGGCAATTCATCTGGATTGGCAGGACAATGAAAGATTTTAAATGATAGAATGTAGAGTTATTAAGTAGCTTCCGGGGCTCCCAGAGGGAATTGAATAGAATTTATAAACCTAAATTTTACAGATATTGGACCAAAAATAAGGGTTTCAATCATGTTTTAACAGGAATTTGTCCGAAAAATTTTTTTAGACCCTTAATTTAATTGGTTTATGTCCGGAAAAAAATTTTCGCCCCTTTTTTGAATGTCCGGGAAGAAATTTTTCGACTCCCTGCCCCTGATATCATACTATACATTCCTCTCTCCTCCGCAGAGCCTCCTTAAGTATTTACAAATAACTTACATGAAGTTATAAAGTTTGTTCGTTCACTGCAACCAGGTATATCAATCATGTTTCGCTCGCTACTCTGGTTTAAATAAATGATTACAAAGCCCAGTCGAATTGTAATCAAGACCCAACGTTTCGACTCTCCAGTCTAGTGTCTTCATCAGGGGTGATCTGAAACTGCGTGGCTTCTTAAATACCCAAGGGATGACGTCACCTGCCAAGAAGATGCATATATTCTTCTGGCAAATAGGCGCCGTCATCCCTATTCAAAGCATAATGACTCATATTTATATGCCACGCTTCTAGGCAAAGTCTTTGACCGTAACGATTGTTTGTGGTAATTACTTTAGAGTTTTCCCACGCAATCTCGTGTTTGGTGTAACATACATGTTCGGCTAAAGCTGATTTTCCCTTGTCTAAAGTTGAAACAGCCTTTTGATGTTCTTTTAGCCGTGTACCAAACTGGCGTTTAGACTGACCCAAATACTCTTTGTCGCAGTCACCGCATGGTATAAAATATATAGCATGAGTCTTCTGATTTTTTTCAACAGGATCTTTTGGCTTTGCGAAAATATGGCCTAAGGTCAAATAGGGTTTTAAGGCAACCTTAATATTACAATTACTTAAGATTCTCTTGATTGGTTCTGTGACACCTTGAATGTATGGAACTATTGCAAAACCCTTAACAGAGGTATCACCCTCGGAGTTATTTTGGTTCCTACAAACAGGTGGTAACAGGTTCCTACAAAAGATCCGTAGCAAAAACTTTGCTTCAAAGAGCTGAATCGTTGCCGTCAAACAGTGATTCTCAAGCTAATGAACGTGAATATGTTCTAAATGTTTTAGGGGAAAACAATTACCCAAAGCGTTTTCTTAATGATTGCCTGAGACCACCTGTTTGTAGGAACCAAAAAAAAAAAAAAACTCCGAGGGTGATACCTCTGTTAAGGGTTTTGCAATAGATAGATAGATAGATAGATAGATTTAATAAAATACTTCGCAGCCATAGGCTGAATTGCGTATTTTTTTTTTACAAGTAAATTTAACTAATTACGAGAATATAAAAGAAGAGTTTATCAAGCCATTATGATGACATTCCATATAAATATTATATATACAAGATGTTTATTACTTTAATATACTAAAAAATTTAAAATTATTAAAAATATTAGGTCATTTCAATAGCATTAGATAAATTATTTGCGGCACGAAGCCACAAAAAAACTAGTTTGAAAACGATTAGTGTTACATCTAGGAATTTCAAATTTCCTATCGTTTCTTAAATCATAAAAAGAAGTATGTATAGGTGGCAGTAAACTTCGTAACTTATGATTTTCATCAGCGACTACTGTTTGAAATAAACTAGTACAAATATTTTCATGATGAACAGACAGTGACTCCAATCCACAACTAATTAAAGCGTCTTCATAATTAGTGTTTGGACAGATGATTCTAATAGCTCTTTTTTGTAATCTTTCCAATTCGGAACGCAAGTATTTTGGCAACGAATAGTAAATGACAGGGATACCATAGTCGATAACAGATCGAATACATGTAACATAAAATAGAACCAGATCATTCCGAGGAATACCGGCCCGTTTAAGTTGGATCAAGTAATAGATTCGTTTGGATACTTTTTTAACTACCTCTTCGATATGTAGATTCCACGTCAGGTTATTATCGAATGACAAGCCCAGAAGTTTAACGGATTTTACGACTTTAATACTTTTATTGTTAATAAGTATCGGGTTAAAATCACGAGGGACTTTTGAGAAGGAAATACGGAGCTCCTTACATTTCTCTTCATTCAGCTTCATTTTATTGTTTTGGGACCATTGTGACATCTAATTAGCAATTGTCTGTGCTCTACTCTGTTGGTTTTTGTCAACTGTTTCCGATACTGTCGTATCGTCCACGTATTTCCATAAGTCAGTATCTGTGATAGATAAATCATTTATCAGGATTAAAAAGAGCCATGGACCTAAAATGGTGCCTTGAGGGACGCCCGAAGGTACTGCACCCCAATCTGAAAACCATCCTTGTGAAAGTTTGACTCTTTGGAATCTGTTACTTAAGAAATCAATAATCCAATTTATAACACTTCGTGGTAGATCTAACTGAAGTAGTTTATTGAACAAAATTCTGTGATCAATTAGATCAAAAGCTTTTTGGTAATCGAATAGAATGATTCTAGTTGTAGAA